AAAAGTTTATTTTATTTTTTTATTTTTTTTTGAAAGTTTAAGATTGTTACAACTAGTCTTTTCAAAATGAAACCAACACAGGCCCAAACCAGTGATCTTTGGTCGCCAAATGTCCTCTTATGTGACCACTCCAAGGTCCAAAAATATCAAGAGGTATATTGTTTAATTTCAGAATTATCATAAACATTGAAATTTTTTTCGATCTTGAGAAACATCTTAAAACCTAAGTTCTTGAGAGTTTTTCTCTATCTGAAATACTCAAAAAGGGCTTTGGGGAAATAAAATGCTCCCCAAAAACTTTTCACCCCTATTCAGGGAGGAAATAGCCAAGACATCCATGCCGAGGGCTTATTTCCACCCTCGGCCAACCTGCATCAAGGCAACGCCTAGGTGCTCGCCTTAATTGGCCAGCGCCTAGATGGCACCTTGGGCGCCTAGACGCACGACACCTGGGAAGCCCACCTATGGGGTGCCTAGGCAGTCGGGCGGTCGAATTTTTTAACATTAAGACCAACTCCTCTTACATGGCCCCTTACAGGATTTGGCAATTTCCCCTAAGATTCTAAATGTTTCCTAGGTCATATACAACGTGATTGAGGGTCTTATGGCCCATTAGTCCAAGCATGGTTGCTTGAAGCATCCGGCTATCTATTGGGAGATCTAGCTAGAAAGAAGTAGCATGACCTTTAAGTTTATTTTATATGGGCTACAATAATAAAAATAACAAATAGTTTATTGGGATTCAGAAAATTAATCAAGGATTTTGTGATTTTGTGGTAAGTTAGCCACAAAGAGTTCTTTGGTTTTAGAGAAGAATAGTGAAGTCAGAACAACTAGGCCGTGCCCTAAAAGGTGGGGTCCAAGGTACCAGGTTAGCTCTAGGTGGGCACCTGAGTTATTGATCAGCCAATAAATTTCTAAAAATAGATAAATTCAAATCATAAAAAATAAAAATAAAAATATAAAATGTGATATATGAAACAGAGATATTGAGTATTTGTCTAATATATACATTGTTTCAGTCACAGAAGGTGACAGAGACAGCACATATAACTATGAACCCGAATCTATGATCCATTCATCGAATTTGGAACTTATTCAACAAATAATTTACTCAAAAGAAATACAAGCAAGCAAGCAAACATAATATGTTCCCTTCGTTATTTTTTAAAAAATTTACAAATAACAAAAAACTTGTCCTTGGGGTTTGGAAGATGCTCTTTCCATAATAGATAGGATGATCTGGGAGACAATAAGAAGAAGAAGATGATGACGGTGATGAAAATGATAAAAAAGACATTGCAGTCAAAGCAGTAAGGGATGAAACAAACTCAATAGACTCAAATATTCATCAACATATAGAAAAAAAAGTCAATTTCAATGGATAAATACAATTTGATTCAGTGGTTGATCCCCTCAGAACCAAAACAATTTGGTTCAAAGGGGATTTTGGGCTTTGAACACCCCAAATAGCCTTTTCCCCTGCTCTAAAGGAGAACATGACTATTTGCCCCCTGTTCATGTCACAAGTAGGTGTCATACCAGGTGGGTGACCAGACACCTAAGTGCCTTGCATATGCTACCTGAGGAGGTATACCTTGAGGCAAAAGCATGGCCTACATTATCTCAATCTAGGTGGGTACCACCTTTGACTTCACTGAAGAAGACCTAGTTTGTCAAGATAAGTTGTTTGCATATATAGCTCCACTTTTCGCAAATCTTAGGATCTCATGGGCTAAGCAGCCAGTGCCTCCCTAAAACATGATTTCAGTGACAGTTAATTTGGGGACCTGACAATGCCAAAGATTTTTCAGGTCCTGTACAGATAAATGTGTTCCTATTGAGGAGATAGCATGGAAGGTCTAGTAATTCGCCTCGAAATTTGCTTTTACCTTTCCTCAGGGCTGCTGTTCAAGGGGGAAAATTAGTTTATATCAACATGAGCTAACAAAAATCTGGATTCCCTAGTACTAGCCAGCATCATGATAAAGATTTTATTCCTTCTTTAAATAAAATATCATGGAAGATATTTTCAAGGGAGGTGACGGAGAATCCATGTCTTATAAAATACCCATGTTTACAAAGAAGCTAATTTTGAGGTAGGCTCCTCACTTGTAAGGGGGAACAGATCCGCACCATCACCCCCACACATCCCAACATTTTATCCTTCTTTTACTTGTCTTTTGTTTTTTCATGATTTGTGTCCTTTAGTTGCATTTCTCATGCAACAAAACCTCCTTAAAAAATAGCCAACTCAGATAGAACAACAACAATGATGATAACAACAACAACAATGATAACAATGATGATGATGACCACTGAGAAAAAATGAATGGTAGGCCATGTGCTAGAGACAGTGCAAAATCAGAGCTGTAGAGATTTACAAACACCAATGGGGAATGATAATATACCTAAAGAATGACAATGACATGAAGAGTAACAACTTCAAAACTAGTGACATTACTAGAAATTCTAAGATGCCTAAATGCAACAAAGACAGGACAGCAACCTTTTCCATTTAAACACTGCCTATAAAGATACAAGGAACAATGAATGGTTATAGCTAATTATGCTCAATAAAGTTTAAAAGTACATACTGCACCCAAAAATCTCTAAATAAAGATATTGAAAGGCCAACCCATTCTTGTCATTCACTGGTGCTTTTATTCACAAACAACCAGATTTCAATAAGATGGATCCCATCTCCAGATAATTCCACAATTTAACTCAATGAAGAAGTGGCCTCCTTGGCCTCCTTAGTGATTAAGAGCAAAAAGGAGAAACAGGTATTTTGCCAACCTGCAAATGGCACATGGTACATTTTTAAAACATTTCTATTTTAAAAAAAAACATTAATTATATATTACAGTTAACAGTTTCAAAAAAAAATAATCAAGAATCTGAAAAAATTAAATGATTGTCAAAACTGCCAGATTTCATTTTTAGAGCTTATATACGAAGACTAGAGCTAAGAATTCATGTGAAGTTTAGCCATGTTCCTTTAGGCCATTTGACGTAAGTGTCAATAAGCTCAATGATAGCACTACTTTACACACATCCAGTAGGACAATCAGGCAACAAATACAATTTTGGTCGACTAGCAATCCCATAAAACTCGACAATATTTACATTAAGGAGCAAATTCTACTCGACAATATATACATTAAGGAACAAAAAGAATATGTTGGACAAATGTAAAGAGGTTTTAGGAGTTAGGATAATCACGCTAAGAAATGATAAGTAATGTCCAATCAGTGGGATTTGAGACACAGCAATTATAGAGACCGCAACAGAAAGAGCTTGAAACTGATGGAGGGTTTTAGGAGATAGTTGTTGAGGTAAGGATTGTCAACATGACACTTACAGGCTAAAACAAGAAAGCTATGGGAAGAAGAGCAAGCTGTTTCCCTTGAGTGTTAGATGTGACTAGTTGGGAAATTTCAGTGGAGAAGGCAGCAGAATGTGGAGGAGATGGCAGATAAAATAAATTCCAGTAGAAAATAATGGAAAATAGCACCACAAGGAAAACAAAGAATAGAGAAGATGAGCATAAATAAATTATAAAGGAGGAACTGAATTGGAGATGATTTGGGCATCTCAAACGCATTTCAGTAATTGGGTTTGAACAACCATCCACTTTCTTCTTACATTTTCATAAAAACAATATGATGATTGCTGAACCAGGGTAGAATGTCACATTCTATAACTCATTAAATCAGGAGTTTGTAGCTCAATCCAGAGAAGATTTATGCCAAAAGTATTGCACATGTTTGACACAAGGCCAGAAGCTAATCTGGAGTCATAAAAAGAAAATTCCAGAAATTTTCACTTTCCACTATGAACCCTGGACTTGAGTTATAGGAGACCTGATATGAGGTATTAAAATACTCTTAAGGAGTCTAATAAATTGACATACACTCCCATACATTCGACAAGGCTCTTGTACCATTCTAAAAATTAGAAATCAGGCAAAGTGAGGGAAGTGATAACTTACGAGTTGTCATCAAGATTTTATTTCAGAGTCTTGAAAGAATTGTTGTTAATTAATAAAAGTGCCATTGTACCAACAACACAATAATTAAGACATATAAAATGACGACCGCTAAAAGTTGATGATATAGAGCACCATTAGCACTACCATTCTATGTCACAACGACAAGTAAACCACTTTTTGCACAATGAAGATCTTAAAAGGCAAAACAAACCCTGAATGATCCCCCTGATGAAGCGACTATCAGCTAATCTATTGAGGAAATACCAGACAAAACCAATACAATAGCACATGATGCGATCATATAGAGAAAGAGGGAGAAAAACATAATTAGCCAAAACAATATAGAAGAGCTCAATGCTACAAATGTAACCTAGAGGGCATGACACTCAACAATGAAAAACAAAGCTTTCTTCTTCTTATTCCAAAAATGTGTAATGTTACAATAAAGAAATATAAATAGGGTAGGCTTCCTACCATTTGTCAATCCATCAAAATCAAAAACAAACTAAGCAATGTAAACTAAGATCATAAGCAAAGGTAACCAAGAGGAGAACATCAATTAAACCCAAGACTAAAATATAATTCTTATTCCTTGTGCATAGTTTAATCAAAGCATATGTTATGGAGGATAGCAGTTAAATGAAGGAATACACAATAAACAGCGAGAATAAGAACACAGAAATGTAACACAAACATGTTTCAATTCTACTGTGATCTGTGAACAACAATATATAAAAACAAAGATGATTAAAGCAAATAAGAGAATCGCAATTTATTTTTCACAGTTGGTCACAGTTGCCTGGTATCAAGTTCCTGTTCAGCCAAACACCAAACTAAACTCCTTAACAATCCCTCCACCAAAATAGAAGAGACAGAAAGAAGGAAATGGTCTCCCAATTTGAAGCCAAGGGAAGTCGACCCATTCAAGAAGAGAGAGAAAGAGAGATTTAGAGAGATTAGAAATTACATAAATTCTTATCCAACAAAGTTCCCATCAACCCAAATCCTCCACCAATTCAACAACCAAAAAGCAGACGTATTTCTCTCTCAACTCCCCAAATTGAAAACCCCATTAAGGGATATCCCACGGTTTGGGCTCGGGGATCGCGACCACCATACCTTGAAGCTCTGGAGAGAGAACAACCTGACACCCGAGCCTTGAATGCTTGCTCGCGACACCCCTCAAAGCATTCGTTTTCAGAATGTATTCTTCTTCGTATGAAGGAGGAGGGAGCTTATCGAGCCATTCTTGAGCGATGTTGACCTCGCATTCAGCCGAGCACGCGTCGATATCTTCGAGCCTGTGGGATTCGGGATCAATGAGGCCTGCGTTGGTTAGGGCTTTCAAGAGGGTGTGGCCTGTGAGGCCGATGACATCTCTCCTTCTGCCATCGAGATCAATGGCGACGAGCTTGACTATGCGATCAGAGACCTTCTTGGAGGAGGACGAGGATGAAGAGAGAGAGGAAGTTGCAGAGTATCGGAGGTGGGGTTTAGAGAGGAGAGAGAGGTGGCGGGGGAGGTGGCGGTGGAAAAGAGAAGCGAAGGCCATGAGCGATGGTAGAGAGAGAGAGTGCGCGAAGAAGCTTTCTGGTGAGAAAATGTAGAGAGAGAAACTTGCGGGAAAATGTAGAGAGAGAGTGGGGACAGAGAGACTGCGGGGATGGCAACGGGTCCAACATGACCCGATAACTTATGTGGGCTCGGACCTGATCAGGCCTGGACCCGAGCTGCCGAGTGCATTTTTTGACTCTGGACCCAGATCGCAGCAACCCGAAGAAAAAAAATCATATAAAGAGGAAACTTTATGCCATAAAAAGTAATATGCACATCAAAAGTTTGCTCGGATATAAAAAAGAACTCTACAATTGAGCATCTCAATCCAAAAAAAAGGGTTTTTAAGTTTTAAAAATAATTTATCTTATGACACATTATTGAGATTATTTATTCTCAAAATTTTAAAGGTTTTAACCATCTACTCGATCCGTATTATTTTTTTTAAGAGTAATGATACTATGAGACCCTATATGTAGGATCTCAAAAGATCACTATGTAATAACTAGAAAAATCAAATCCTACACCTATGTGATAACTTTTTTAGAGATCTGTACTAAATTTAACGATGATTTGAAATCCTACACACATAAGTGTGGGAGGGTCTTATATGATCATTACTCTATTTTTTAAGCTTTCAATTTTATAATTAGAGGCAAAAATAAATTTTTAGGCCGAGTTTTGAGCACCAAAATTAAATCTTTTAACAAGAGATGTGCCTGCCTGATTTTTTTGAGGTCGACTCCTTTTTACTCTTATACAAACTACACCCCCAAAATGTTGTGGTTTGCTACAAGCCTACCATTTTCATTCAACTAAAAAAATAAAATTAAAATAGATCAGGGTGATAAAATTGTCCTAGACACTGATTAATTATTTTAAGAGGAACTTATCAAAATACATTTTTATTTTTCAACTATTTACCATTTTACCTTTCTACCACTATTTCAAGCCAAAATCATCTCTATTTTGATAGATATTTTAAACTTAAATCAAAATATATCATCATCGTCAAAGCTTTTTTCCAACTAATTGGGATCGGCTGCACAAATCCTGACACGCCATTCTACTCTATTAAGGGCAATACCCTCATTAAGGCTACAAGTACTCGTACTTTTTTTACTACATCCAACCATATCCTTTTGAGCATATCCCTTGCCCATATCCAGATCATAATCAACCCAAAAATCTAAAAAATTCCATTAAAAACTCATTTTAGAAGACCTTAGATCAAAAATGGCAGGTTTTTAAGTGCAATGAAATAGTAATATGTTAGTACTGCTAAATCGCGTGAATTATGATATGATATAGCAATTTTCAATCATCAAAATCACAATCCTGATGAAAACTATACCAACTCGGGTCTATAGCCCATCATGCCAGAACTTGGGACACATGGTAATCCCTTTTCATTACATAAGGTATAAAGCCTTTAATATCCTAGATCCCTCTTCAAGATATATCATTCAAAGATTAAAGTCAATCATTCATTTCATAAAAAAAGATTCATTCAGTCAATCCAAGCTCCAGTCAAGATCTCTACTCTGGCTCGTAAATAATGTTACTTTACTCTTCTCTTGATCGTTTAAATCCGTTTTATCATTTTATTATATCTTACTTCATTTCTTTTACTTCTTGGAGTTTTATTTTTCAGCTGTTTAACTTTAATGCGATTTACAAGCCGGCACTGCTGATGATCGGAAGAGGGTTAGATCTCTTGTGTGAGACCAGATGACCTTTAGATCAGAATTCGACTGGACATCGATCTGTCTAATTTTAAATAATTAGTGAAGACCAAATTTTATCGATGATTTCGTGCGAGATTGATCCTGAATCAAATTGTACAGAAAGCGCTTATATAACTTGTCAATATTATACTATAGAAGTAACGTGCACATAAAAAACCAACCTAAAAGGTCGTTCCGATATCCAAAAACCCTATATTTTGTCATCTTGTCTTCGAGATGATGGATATGAAAACAATAAAAAATAAAAAAATAAATAAAGGCTTAAAAATAATATATATTGTAATACATTATCTAGACCATCCACTTTCGAAATTTCTATGTATTTATAGATTTTTTCAATTTACAATATTTTTGGAGCTTTAAATTTTATAATTCGGACCAAAAATAGATTTATAATCCTAAAGAATTAGAGGTGCTTGCATATTCAGATTACAAGTTTAAGAAATGGGTTGAGGTCATGGTGATATTACTTCCGATGACCTAAAAAGAGGTCTCGAACTCCATTCCTATATGGATAGGGTGGATTTTGGACCCCATTGCTAACCAGTGAGATATGTGGACCTCCGACAAGATGTGGAAGCGAGACGGATCCATTAGTGCCCGTAGTGCCTCAGCCGACTAGATGTGGAAGCGAGATGGATCCATTAGTGCTCGTGGTAGTCGAGAAACCTACATCCCATACAAATGGTGGTCTAAATGGGGGCACGAACGGAGGGGGCACCTACTGAGCAACGATATGAACAATAGTTTCAGTCCGTGGCCTCTCAACAGGTTTTGTGTGAGAGCATGCAAGCCCTAGTTGTAACAATCGTCACGCATCATCTTGCTCGTATTCCCCTTGGAGTCGAGGGTCAACTACTTCGAGGACTCTACCTTCTCTGTACTGGGCCTATACATGATCAACTAGGAATCCTCGAGTGGTGCTATTTGGGCGCCGGCCGCACACCACCTCAAGGATCGCAGCTCTGAAGCCAAATACATCGGACTCCCGTGTTGCCTTTCCGGTACTAAAGCATTCCGGAGCTATGTACCCCAGGGTGCTAGGCACGGCATTTTCCACCACATATGAGGTTTTCTCGTGGTCGAGAACACGAGCAAGGCCAAAGTCTCCGAGCCGTGCATTGAATTCGGAGTCGAGCATGATGGTGCTCGCCTTGAGGTCGCGGTGCACCACCCTTTGGTCATACTCGGTGTGGAGGTAGTGCAACGCTAAGGCCACGTTGCCAAGTATTTTGTATCTGTGTCCCCAGCCTAACATGGGCCTTGCCCGTACAAGTAATTGTCTAGGCTTCCATTTCGCATGTAGTCGTACTCCAAGAGAAGCATTCATTTCCTGTGGCACCACCCTAAAAAAAAGAAAAGAAAAGGGAAATAGCCTTAATTAGGAACATAGTAAATACTAAGCTTAGGGCTTAGGATTCGTCCCCTGTCAGAGCTAAGTAACTTTGGCGAGTCCAAGTCTTCAAAAGACCTAAAACAAGAAAGAAAAAAAAGACAAAAATAAACCCAAAAAAAAAAAAATTTTCTGTTTGTGGGATGCACGGCTTTTTTGCCTTTTTGCAAAAAGAGAGAGCTAAATAATTAAAAAAAGGCGCCAGATTTCTACCGGTTTAGAGAGAAATGAAAATTCGATTCGCCCAATTTCTATAATACTAGGGCAAGTATATACAATACTCGTTTTAGTACATGTACAAAGCAGGAACTGTCGACTAGGGATGAGAATTGACACGATTGGGATTCGAAAACCGGATTTCGGACTCTAATCGGATCCAGGTATAGACCAAAAATTTGGATCCGAAATCTGGTTATGGATCCAAAAGTCAGATCTGAATTGAAATTCGGATCGGTTCCAGGTGCAGGTGGATCCAATCCAAATCCAACCCGAATCCAAATCCAAAACCAACTCTATTTTTTAATAGTAAACTTTTATTTATATATATATATAATCTTTTTAATAGTATACATATAATTCTAATATGGATCCAGATCCATATCCGATATATACTATTCATATCTGGATCCGATGTATATTATTCAGATTTGGATCTGGATCTGAAATCTAAGATCCGGTTTGAATCCAGATCTAATGTATACTATTTGGATCCAGATCTGGATTTGGTCAGATCCGACTCCGATCCGACCCGTTCTCTCACCTATCAGAGACCGACCAAACTAAGAGAAATCCGAACTGTCTGAGATCGTACGCAAACTTTATTATTTAAAATGCGTAGATATAGGTGGGCCCCATCAAATTTAAATTTATAGAGACATCAACCCTAAAAGACCTATTTTTTGTAAATTTGTGGCCAAGCTGGCTTAGGAGATGCGAAATCCAAATAAATATATAAAATAAAGAAACCAGAAAATAAAGAGAAACAATACAATGGATCTACTAAAACAAATAAAGACAAATAATGGCTAAACTAAGAAAAACAATGAAGCTAAGTAAATAATAAGGAAAAGAGAAATGAGGAAAATAACAAACAAAAACATGAAAAACATATCTAGTAAAGCTGAATAACTAAGGAAAACAATGTAGCATATCAAATAATAAAAGAAAATAAGTTTAAAAGGAAAGAAAAGATGGAAGTAGGTGTATCATGCATGCTCTCATGGTAGCAAACTTTATGGTCCGAACTTTCTATGTCAAGTAGTTTTAAACTCAACAATATTTGGCTTGGATCGCCGATTCGTGTGGGAGTCAGTTTGGTCTACATCAGTTTGGGTCCCGCACCGCTTCTTTCCCTAAAACTTTCTTTCATATATGTTCTTTCATTTTTTTTAAGCTTATGTAATATATTTTTTTAGGTCTCCCCTAAATCTTCATCCTATAAACCCGTATTTTAATTTAATTTATTTGTTTTTAATTTTTGTTTGTATCACCATTTCATATCAATCCAAACCTGATCCAGATCACCAATCCAATGATCCAATAGGGATCTATTGGTCCAGCCCATGAATCATTGTTTTAAATTCCCTATAGAAGTTAAGGAGGGGCGAGGGGCGAGTAAGTTCGAGTGGAAACCTAAAAAGGGTACCATGGTTTTAAATACCCTAGAGAAGTTAAGGAGGGGCGAGGGGCGAGTTAGTTCGAGTGGAAAGCTAAAAAGGGTATGGGATAAACCAAAAAAGATATGATTGACAATAGCGAGAATATATATAGGGACTTATGACCACCCTTGATAGTGCAAAATGGCCGATAAAGATTTGTGTAACCAATCCAAATAGTTGAGAAAAAGATTCGATGATGATAATGAAGTTAAAAACTTCCTCTCCAATAGGGTTTCTAACTCCCACTATAACCAAGTGAAGAAACAGAGGGATCTGGACCAGTACCTCATAACAGGTTGACCTGAACCAGTATCCTAAAGTT